AAACAATAATATCTTTATTATCAAAACTATTATCTATATTGCTCATACCATTACTATTATCGTTATCATTATCATGATGATCATCATGATTATTGTTGTTATTATCTTTATCTATCACTCTTACATCATTTTTATCACTCTTACATATGTTATCAACATTTCAACAATAATAATAACGATGACAATTATAACAGCATAAATAATGAGATACTAACAATAATAGCACACAAACCCGCTGCATTCACCACGATACTTCGACGTGCAGGCACGGCAACGCGGACGTTGAAGTAAGCATGGGGAACATTCTAGGAAAATGCAGGCGCCCCTTCCTCTTGCAGATCCCACCCGAGTCTGACGCATATCGCGGGGACGCAGGAGACAGACCCCAGACCCACGGGCTCTGGCTTTCTTACGACATGCGGCGGAGGTAAACAAAGACAGGATGTCGGTATATAGGATGGCAGCGTATCGGCCACCACTCAGTCCTCAGCGAGACGTTCGAAGGTGAACACGTGTGTCCAGCACACCTGGAGATTTGCCCACTCGCCTCCACTCAGAATCGGGTTACCCTCTGCCAACACTGGGCCTGGATCAGCACGAGCGATTCGGACGGCGTGTTGTTTCTGAAGCTAGTGTCCACTTTGAGCACACCCATATTTAGTTCCTGATGGCGTCGTTGCGGCTAACGGTGACGTCGTGGATCCTCCTGGCAGCGACGGCGTCTGCAGCACCCCAAGGGCTAGACCCCAACACGATCATTTTTCCCGACGAAATCAACAATATCAGAAACAGGCTCGCCCTGGAACAGTGCCGCCAAGATCCGAACTGCGCCACCCCCCACCACCCGGACCCAAACCTCGGCTGCAGCAGCGGCTCGGGCGGCGCAGAAACCATGCTCAGGAATGTGATTAATCTGCGCCGCGGAGTAGGAACCTGCAACTCCATGACCGGGGAGGTGAGGTGGCCAGCGACGGGGGAGTGTGTCAAGCTCCTCACCCAAGGGCCGTGCCCCCCAGGACAGTGGGTCAAGCTGACTCTATCTACGTGTAAGTACTCCACACCTGTACGTTAATTAAACAGTGGGTAGAAACTAAGTTGTACCTGAGAAAGCATACCATAAGCGTACTTTGGTTAGCCAACAGTAGACTCATCCAACGAATAGGATAAATATCCCGTTGAATAGCAAGTACAATTGAAATACAATTATTCCGTAAGCAGGGCGCCCCTGACACGCTGCGGCCCCACTGTGGCGCGGATCCGTAGGCGTCCAACCGCTAACCTTGGGTTGGGAGAACCGCCTCCCATCCGTGACCCCCGCGCCCTTCTTGCCCACACCAATCAAATATGTATTCTAGTGTCAGTTACCGTCCAATATGTTTCTATATTAGGCTTATAGATATCTATACGAATATCTTCCTCTATTCATCTGTCTCGCACTCTATCTTTCCCTCTCACCCCCTTCATACACACACTCAAAGAGAGAGCTCCTTTCTCGAACACTGTAATATATTATTTCCTCGATTTTCATCTATTTATATTATTTATCAACATCCTCCGCTAGCCCCTCCCCTTCCCTCCATATCCGGCTCTCAATTTCCGTCCGATTTCAATACTGTTGTTCCCTCCCTATTCCTTCTCATTTTTCTATCTTATTTATCCTTACTCCTTCCCTTTTATCTCCCTCCTTACAATCTTCTATTTCATGTTAGAAAAAAATGAAGTCGAGGAAACATGACTATATTTCGATGAAGCGCCTTTGGTATTTTCTAAATGAAAATGAACAATAAATAAATGTTCACAAAATAATAGCTGACATAGAGCAAATAACAAGGAAGTTAACGAACTGAGATCAGCCTTGAGCACTAACCACAAGAACAAAAATAAATAAAACAAATAATTGTATAAATAATAAAATAAAACGGTGATAATAATAAAAATATTGACTGAACACAGCCAGTAAAAAATAAAAAAAATATACTTCATTGCTTTCACCTCCATCTGATTACATTAGTTTGTGTGTGTGTGTGTGTGTGTGTGTGTGTGTGTGTGTGTGTGTGTGTGTGTGTGTGTGTGTGTGTGTGTGTGTGTGTGTGTGTGTGTGTGTGTGTGTGTGTACATACATACATACATACATACATACATACACATACACATACACATACACATACACATACACACATACACACACACACACACACACACATATATATATATATATATATATATATATATATATATATATATATATATATATATATATATATATACATACATACATACACCCGCAGCACAGATAGTAAGTTAATCACGACAGGAGGGCGAGGTGAGGTGCCGAGAGGGGGGGTGGGATAGGTGTGGGGGCAATCCGCCTGAAACCAGACTTTCTGGTTGTTCCAATAATAGTCAAACAAAAAAAAAAGTTTAGTTCTGAGTGGTGCAGGAAGGATGGGGGAGTTGGGCGGGGACTGGGATAATGTTCGTAATATATTCGGCATAACCCCTGTCGCTATGACGTAACGTTAGGAAATCGAACATTCACTGGGCTTTGCTGCTTAAATGAGGATGATATTTGACGATGATGATGATAATGATGAGGTGGAGGAAGAAGTGAATGCTAAGGAAGACGCAGACATCAATAGTAAATCACATCTCACGATTACTGAAGCACCTGCAGACCATACTTAAGTATAGTATAATATGATATAATATATATATATATATATATATATATATATATATATATATATATATATCAAAGTCTACACACACACACACACACACACACACACACACACACACACACACACACACACACACACACACACACACACACACACACACATGCACTGCGCCTTTGACATAACGGCCTCTTCAAAAATATTAGTGAAGACCAAACAATATATAAGTAACACTCGAATGTTGCACGCTCCATCTCTCGGTATTTGTTTAAATCCTCATCCCTACCTCTAAACGCCCACATACTGCCTCTCTTCCTCACTCTCTCCCAGTCTCTCTCCTCGATCCCCTTCTCTCCGTCTCTCCCTCTCCCTCACCCTCTCTACCTTTCCCTTTCCTTGTTTTTCTCTCCCTCTCACCCTCCTCTCTATTCCCTCATTCCCTCTCTTTCTCTCTAACATACACATACACAAACGCAAGACGCACACGCACGCACATGCAAAAGAACACGCACGCACATGCACATGCACATGCACTCGAATACACATAAAAAGTCTAACGTAATTAAATACATATGGAACAGCAGTTTGGTGCAATGAACATATTGCCTTTCTGAGATTCCATAAAAATACACGTGAAACTACAGATTCAACTATTTACCGATAAAACCCATTTACTAATTTATTCATAATAATTTATTCATGTCAGACGACCCTCGACAGATCACTCTTAGATTTGCAATTCTCTATAAATGCTCTAAAATCCAAGACAACTTTTCCATGTCGTCTTGACCGTTGCAGTCGAGCCCGTGTGCGAGCCGCAGCCGTGCAGCGACCGGGAGGCGCTGGTGGAGGGCTCCTGCCACTCGCTGGCCGACGTCTCCAAGTGCCCGCCCCGCCAGCAGATGTTCATCAACGAGGCCGGCGAGGGCGAGTGCGACTGCCAGCCCGGCATGGTGTTTTTCGAGCAGACCAACTCCTGCTACACGCCGTACACCCAGGGGCCGTGTCAGCCGGGATACATCATCAGAGTAAGGACCAGATTACGTTTTTTTGGCGGGTTCTATTAACTGGGCTCAACTGTTAAGTATATCAAATGTATTTAGAGACGCGGCTGGCCATAACTCCTGCCAAACATTAAAAAAAGGAAGTCAATCATTCCTCGAAACTCACACAACTAACTGAATTTTCACATTCGTTACTTGCTAGGTCATGGACGCAGGTGTAGGCGGACGCGCACGGTGCGAGCGGAACGCCTGCCCCTCGGCCAACATGGTGCCGATGGACTCGCGATGCCACATACACACCACGAGGAGCGCGGGGATCTCGTGCTTCGACATCAACACCCCCGGCCCCTGTGCAGATGGCGAGCTTGCAATTGACAGCGTTATCAACGAGCCCGTCTGTCTCCAGACGGAAACTCACAGCATCTTCAACCTGCCCAACACCAAGTCTTGCCCCCGAGGCTCCATCCGCGACACGCTGGGCCGGTGCCGCCGCGATGTGAGCCTGACGTTCCGGCCGTTGCCCCCCGTGAGGACCAGCCGTCCGGGTCCCCAGCCCGATAACGACGGCCTCTGCCCCACGGGGTATGAACTCCTAGGAGGCACGTGCATTAGATTAGGTTAAGGCCACATCTCTCTCTCTCTCTCCCCCGGCGGCCACCGCGAAGCCAAAGACTGCTGCTGTCGAAGGAAGTCCCTTCCATCCCATCCTCGGACACACGTCTCCCACGTCCTTCGTCTTGCTTTCGCCCTAGTCTCAACATTTTCCAGCTGCACCTTTATATCATACATTCTCATACAGAATTATTCACACGCTTATCGACTGCTTTAGTTATTCACTGTTACAATATTTTCTACTCGTTGATGAATGACTTTTGCAATACCTATACATAAAGTTTATTTTCTTTCATTATACTTCCAATAGATTTACCATGTATTTCTTATTGTTAATGTATATACTGTTTTGAATTGCAATAAATAATAATAAAAAGTCTAAATCTATTTCGTTCAACTTTGGCTTCAAGAATAGCCATATATCTAATTACTTGAAACATGAAATATAAGAAAAAAACAACTAATTCAGCTAAGCCGAAATCCACATGCATTTAAAAAACTCCAGAATCGATATGTGATTATCAAACCCTATAACACTTTACATCCTGCATTTTTGGTTCGAACACAAAGAATTCTGCATCCTGGAGAAGACAGGAACCTGTAACTCTCTTGCAGGTGAATGGCCATTAGCCAACACGGATGCAAGCGTACAGCATATTGCTCGCTATCAAATCTATCTCCACTCACATACCTTGGTAACCAGACCATCTAACATTTAAACATATATATATATATATATATATATATATATATATATATATATATATATATATATATATATATATATATATATATATATATACATATAGATATACACATTTATACATATATATACACATACATACATCCATTTATACACATACATCCATTTATATACATATATACGTACATATAAATATATACATATATATATACATATAAATATATACATATATAAATACATATAAATATATACATATATATATACATATAAATATATACATATATATATACATATAAATATATACATATAAATATATACATATATATATACATATAAATATATACATATATATATACATATAAA